ACAGATCAGTTCCATTAAGGCTCGCGACTATCATTTGGCCACATTTCTGGGTCTGTTGCCCGCTCAAACGATAAATGTTTATCTGGGCTCCACGCTGCGTTCGATGCACGAGGTGCTTAATGATCACAATACCAAAGTGACGGGCTACATTAGTTTTGTGATCGAGGTGAGTTGCTCCATATATCTGTAAATGTATATAGTATTGTTGTTTGTTTACCTTCAGCTAGTTGCGCTTTCAGTTACACAAGAATTATTGATTTTATTTGCATAATAGGGTTAAAAATGGGCTTGCGTGCTAAATTAAGTTGAAAATTTTCCATGACTTGAACATGATTGCGCAAAAGTGCATAAGGTTGCCTATAAATTATAAATGCGGTTTGACGCAATCAATTCCAAGGAAATGCACGAATTTCTCATGCAGCCTGAAAGTAGGCAACGCTTTTATGTCTTCTACGTTTGTGCTTTAAAGTCTTATACTCTGTTGAAGCCAAATGCCATATATGGTAAAAGGCTTTAAAATGAAGTAAAATATATATTTGTTTTATTTTTAAATTATTATTTAAATTATTTACTATATATTCAATTTCCCTTTCATTATTCTAGGTAATTTGTGGCGTTGCTCTGATGTTTTGGGTAGTGCAAAAGGCGCGCAAGGAGCTCTCGGAGACTTTGCTGAACTCGGACTATGAGAACGATGGCAAACCCATCGATATACAAGTATAGCAAAAGGAGAGCAGCCCAACTCAACAGCAGCAACAACAACATCAACAGCAAGAGTTGACGATGGAGTCTGACGCAAATAGGAATTGTGTTAATTAATTAATGTAAAGATCGTATTTTTAGATTGTTTAGCAAGCCAATTAAATTATTTAGTATCTAGTTTAGTTAATTAAAAGTAACAAATGAAAGAAATACCAAAAGAAATGTCGCAAATTTACATACATAGCTATGTATAAGAATTATACTTAAATAGGAGTTGACAACTAATTTAATGACAAATGCTGTGCCTAAAGTATCTACATATATACATACATACAATATTTACAGTTCATATACATACATACACACATATACATTAATTTTACATGTAAATTAAAAATTGATGCCTCGCTCAGAGTAATTGGAATGTAAAATGCTCTTTCTCAGTTAGCATTTCAAGTCGATTTGTGCTCTCTAAATGAATCCATTGAAATTATGCTCAATTATATTGAACTAGTTTTGTAAGTAATAAATATTATATATAGAGAACTAATAATTATTGTTATTATATTAGGGGTAATGGTTAATGCATGCCACGGCTCGCACTTGTTATAGTTCGCCAGCCGCGTGGCCTTTTGTTCATATGCTCCACGAAAACTGTTTC